GACGATCAATATCCCACTAAAGCTCTGGGACAGGGGTATCGTTAGGCACGGCTCTGTTGGGGGATCTCTGATTTCAATGTCGGAGATGTCCATGTACATGAGTTCGAACACTTGGAACAGTGCTATCTCTAGCTGGTCTAATTGACCAGCTTCCGCATATTTGACAAGAGAGTTGAAGCTGCTTGAAGCAAGCTTCTGAAGAATTGCTTCGTTGTTTTTCGCATCCAGATCGTGCTGACGCGTCGGCTTTGTTACGCTAAATGCGCTAATGGCTCGCCCGAGTTTATACGGTCGAGTTGGCGTACCAGGCTGACATTCTCCAGCTCACGTATCACTTTCTAAGCTAAACATGGTAAGCTTCGTTTTCAACTAGCTGCTCCATCTCAATGTATGCTTGATCTTCTCATCGACATCTTCGTAGGGTATTAGGCAGCCCTTTCAGTTGACCACTACTCCCACCATGCTTCAACCTCGAATATACAGACCTCTGGTGTCCTCGGAGGCGTCTCTAGCCGTGCTAGCTTCGTCTTTGAGTTCTTTGAGTCTATGTCCGAAACACGCGCACCTGAACCCCCGGAGCTCAACTATTTTCGTTCGACATGCTTCCCATGCACAACAAGGCCGCGCAAACGGACCCTCGGATTCCGCAGGAAGACGGCTGGGAGCCAAAAAGGGGTCTTCGGAATGGGTCCATCCAGGGAACATAATCTTCAAACAAAGAGGCAAGCAAGCAGAAGTTTCGACCTCTTTTTTGAAACCTCGCGGATAAAAAAATTCCTGACTCGTTGTTTGTTACAGGGACGAAATGGTTCCCCGGCGAGAATGTCGGCATCGGCAAAGACCACACCCTCTATGCCCTCGAATACGGCTACGTTCGATACTATCGGGATCCCCTGAAACATCCCAAGAGACGATACATCGGTGTGGCGCTGGAAAAAGAAGGACCGAGATCTCAACTTCCCACGCCGCGCAACGCGCCCTCGCGCAGACGGCTAGGCATGTACGCCACGCCTATGAAACCACCACCGCAGTCTCAAAAGTCTGTCGACGAATCGTTCCTCGAGGCTCATCTGAGCCAGAGCAGCAAGGGCCTCGGCCAGGTGACCTTCCAGTCTTCCGGTGCTGCTACACCTACTCCGGCGGCACCTCCAACGTTTAATCGGCAAGGAACGTATCGGGAGGCAAACGCATCGATTGGGTGGGCAGCTGAGAGGAAGGGAGTCAAGGTGCGCGAGTACGATCGCAACGATCGCTGGCTGGCCTGGAAGAAACGATCACTCCGAGTGAAGCGAGGAATGGAAGCTAAAGCCGCTAGAGCTATGAGGAAGACCAAAGGCAAGAAATCCAATAAAGGACCGAAGACTGCCCAGAAGAAAAAGTAGTGATGGAAGTTTGCGGGAGTGCGACGCAATTGTACAACTACATGAGCAGCACCATCGTCCTAAATGGCCATGGTTATGGGGCATATTCCCAGCTCACAATACCCACTGGGCGATTTTTCTTGATGTGTGTTGAGATAATCAAAAAGAATCTTTTGATCTATATCGGATCCTGGTCAAAGTGTCTACAATGTATCATCTTCAGAAGGTTCTTACAGTCAGAACATCCATAAGGGTACAAGCGAACCAGACACTGGAGACAATTTTGTGACCACAATGCGTTCGTCGCCTGACTATAAACCATTCTCGGCCTTGAATTTGTCCCAGGCCTCGTTCAGCGCGCTGAAGACGGCGCCGGCAATCATTCTCTGTTCGGTGGTAGCATCGGTGGGAATCTAGAATTTTCAGCCCAGCGTCAGCATCAATCGCCTTTTCACCATATATCCAAGCTCTAGCTGGCAATATTGACCCGAGTAGAGTGGCGATGATGAGATAAATACGTACCTTGTCAGGATGCACTTTACCGATGCCCTTCATGTACTGAATCTTGACCTTGCCAGGAAGGACCAAATCGGCCATGCTTATCTTCTTCCACCCACTGCCTTCCCAGAGCACACTGTCCAGAGAACCCAGCAAGGCACGGAGATTGTCCTGTTTGCCGGATTTCCACGCATTGATGCGTGCATCAACAGACTCAGAGAGACGGAATTTTTCGTCGTCGAGCTTGTCCGCAGCAAGGTTTGCGGCGCGCAGACGAGAAACAGCTTCCGCTGGCTTGACGCTTGTAGACGCAGGGGCGGGCGGTGATCGGCGGAGGGCTGACGAGGCTGGAGCCGAAGCGGGACCGGGCTTCCTCGCTGCTGTTGTAGAGGTAGGTTTGGGTTTCTGTGGGTTCGCTGCCTTCTCTGCCCTCATTCTGCCTTGGATACTCGTCGCACCGCCGTGACCTCCTTCCACAGCTTCTCTCCAGACAACAGCGGCCTCGGTCCACTTCTCCATCTGCTCGAGTGCTTCAGCTTTGCGCATGAGCGCCTTTCCATAGTATTCGCGCATTGGCTTGTTACCCATATTGCCTGGGCTGGTGACCTCTATGTGCTCATTCTCACCCTTCGATGGTCCTATGATCATTATGGCCTTGTCGGCATCCATGATGGCTTGTTTAGGCTCGCCTATTTTCAGCGCCGTAAGAGCACGGTTTGTCAAAAGCACAATGGTTAGCGGATGGGATTCCGGTAAGTGCGACAGGGAAGTTGCATAAGACTGGTGTGCCGACGCATAGTCACCACGCTTGAAATGTTCGTTACCTTTCTCGCGGTGGGAGTGACTGGCTTGGAGAGCGATGCTGGGGATGGAAGGGACATGACGGGTGGGAGCTGGAGGTCGGACTTGAGTTGCAGTTGAGTCGACCCGTTGTTTGACCGGTTGAGATTGAGATCGAGTAGATGGTTTGTTCATCTCCACATGAGTTGCCGCTGCGCGTGGAAGGGAGGAAGAAGAGTCCTTGAAACCACCTTCGAGAAGATCCGAGTTCAGGACGGGTGCTGGCGGTGCATCATGAACCGAACGAGTTGGTTGTTTCCGTCGTCGAGCTGAGCTGACATACGCTTGAGCAGCCTGTTCCTCGGCAGCTGCGCGGGTTAGACTAGCTCTTGAACTCGCGGCAGGGGATTGGTTTTGCTGTCGTAGAAAAGCTGGCTGGGTCTGAGGAAGTGAATCACGCAGTCGTGAGGGTACAACAGGCGACTGATCTCGGGAGTTGTCAGCACTCGAGTCAAAATGTCGCACCGGTCTGGAGGAAGTGGAAGGTCGTGATGCAGAGGTTGGTCGGTTGATTTCCAGCATCATCGCCTCATCCGTCATGCTTGCTTGGCTGGGGGCTTCTGCGCCCGGTCTACTTCTTCCACGTCCTGACTCGACCTCGGGCTGTCGTTGTGGCTGTTCCTTTCTGGTCGGTCGCTCTGCTACTTCCCGCATCCACCGGGGTTGATTGCCAGCCTCAGTTTCAGAATTGAACTCCTGGACAGCTTGCTGAACTCGTTTCGTCCCTTGCTTCCACAATGAATTTGCCGTCTTCAAGAAGTTACTGCCGAATTCTGTTGCAAGCTGTTCGAAATCTTTCTCTCCATTTTGAGTGGAGCCTTTTGTACGTCTGGGGCCTTCTCTGTTATCCCATGGTGGTCTGGTCCTCGATGCATGCGCTTCATTCCGGGAGCCTATCCTGTCATTGTCCGAATCTCCCATTTGCCCAGAGGCAGTTCTTGACTGAGCTTTTTGCCGCGCCTCGGCGTGGGCTTGGTTCAGTAAGTAACCCACGGCGGCCTGGACATCAATTCCTGATTCCGTCGCCTCTAAGGCGACTTTTGCCTTGTCCGCTGGGAATCCCATATCAACCAGCTCTGCCACAGCTTTGTCCTGCGGATGACGGTCGGTGGCCGGGCTTCCCGTGGCTAACGGAGGAGATTGAGATTTTGCAGTAGAAACAGGCTTTCCAAGAAGCCCGAGCACGTCGTCATCATCACCCGCAGCGGTGCTCGCCGTCGCCGCAGTATCTGCCCGCCTAGGGGGAAGTTTTGAGAGTCCGAAGGGGTCATCATTGTCGTCAATGTCCACATGCTTTTTTGGAATGTATGCAGTAGCAGCGTCGTTTTTAGGAGCGGTTGGTTTATTGAAAGCAGCAAATAGATCGTCGTCGGTATCGTCTAACTCGTGATTCTTGTGGTTCGTGGTCTGATTCTTTGCGGTATCGACCGCAGGCGTCCCCCTCCCACTACCCAAATTGTTCCAAAATTGATCATCTCCGCCAGCAAACTGATCATTCAATCTCCGAGCCTGGTCTTTCTGCTGTTGTGCCTTAGCCTCCACCTGTATCCTTTGCTGTTCTGACAACGAGAGATTCTTATGCGACGCCGGTCCGAAGGAAACGAGGTTCGCGAAGCTATCGTTTCCGGGGGTCGACGGCTTGGAGGGAGGCTGACTCGTCGCCGAATTGAATGGAGAGGCTCTCCCTGAGGTTGGCGGAGTAGGTTTTAATGTATTAAAGGCAGAGAAGTTCGATGTCGCGGGTGCGGGTTTCGAGTTCTGTTCGTTCGCCGGGGTCGCGCTCCATTTCAACCCCGCTATATCCTCCATTGTCGCAAAGACTGAATATTCATGAACAAGGGTTGAACATGTCTAGAGCGGCCATTGTTTGCCCGATAGTATCACCGAGGAGTGACGCGGTGTGTACGGAGAGGGCGGGAAGGAACTTGAGCGTGTGCCGTTTAACAACGGATATTGATGCATTTGTCCCAATGGGGCGGTAGACTGCGCCACACTTGCAGCCACATCTCCCTTTCCGGGAATAACTTTGCCTAGGTAAGTACTAGGTATCCGTATTATTTCTTGTGGCCTGTGTGGTCACGGTGGTTTTGTATTCAGGGGAGTGTCAGAAACTTGTCTGTCACCTGAGGGAAAAGAGCTTCGGAAATCAAAGTACAAGATCATAACATCATCAAGGTAGGCCAACAAAATCCAATATCCAAATGCATCGTCCCTCGTTACCCCTTTGGGCACTCAGGTAGGCTGGAACTCTGAAGTCAACCACCTGTTCCGCGGGACCAAGCTGAGCCTTTCCAAAAACACTCATATGGTAGTCTTTAGGGCTCTCCAAGTCATCCTCACCACGTAATACCTCCGATTTAGGACGTCCGCTCGCATAGGCTGCTCGTTCTTGAACTGGTAGTCGTCCTTGAGGTCTCGCACGCCCTCCCAAGAGGATTCATCCCGCTCGCCCGTCCACTCGAGAATGAAATCTTCTTTTACTAATGGGAATCTCCAGTGCTTGGCTCTTTCGACAACTACCTGTAATTGCGACTTTTTGCGCTCGTCGGTCTCAAATTCCATGACCAACTTTCTCAACCCTCTAATTCTGCATACTGCTCCTCCCCAAGTTCGTTCACTCATGTGATCGTTGATGTAAGTTAGACTTGGCTCAGGAGGCTCAGAAAGCATCTCCTGACAAGAGGTTCGATCAGGACGCCATGGACAGATGCCTAGACAGTCACTGGAACCGAGGGGAGACTCCCAGGACCACCAGTCAGCGTGGCGAAGCGTTAAATGAAGGCAGGGCGTTCCGAAAGAGAACTGCCAGGCGTCTGTTGTCAATAGGTTCTCCAAATAATACTGTTGGGTGAAGATGTGAACTGTTTGTATTGCGTTTTTCTGGTCCTCTCCCAGACTGTGATACCAGGGAGTCCATCGAGCCGTATTACGATTATTGCTGGAAGTGGATTTCCATGGACCATTGAACAACCAAAAAACATGCTCGTTGACCGAGATGGGCAAGAGACGGGTTTCGCGGTAAACCCTCCTACAAGTCAACAGCAGAGAGCAATCGATCTTCTGATGATAACGATAGCCCGGTCGGTAGTACTTCCGGTCGGCTCGGTACGGTTTAGTAGGGTCATCGTAGGAAGTCAAAGCAAGTTCGAAGATGGAAGCTCGGATCTCTGCAGGGAGTGTGAACAAGCCACTGTCCCTCTGTTCATTCTCCATAGCACCGTAGATGGAGCCTCAAGCGGACATGTACTAGATGTGTACTAGGGTTCGCCTCAATGGACCGCGATTGACACAGCAAAGTCTCGGAATCAGAGCCGAGATTGTGGCGCTTGGTGTAAACAAAGACTGGGTTGTTTCAGATCGAGACGGTGCGATGGCGAGGAGGAAGCAAAGAATTGACGGACTGCTATCGATCAGGGCTACTTCTTAGCTTCACTGAAGGCCAGACACTGGGATTTTGATCGTGGCTGGTTCGCAGGCTGTCACTCCTGTAGCAGAAATGGACGACCTGGAGATGAGGCCATTATATATTTTGAATTTGCAAAATCCAAAATCTTGGTGCCTGCTACATCTCAGCGAGTAGCACTCGTAGCCAAGGGTCACTGTCAGGATCAGCGTACCTTGAAACATTGCTGCCTTGTATGCGTGATGGGTGCGAGAGGATCCTGGAGATGTCCCTGCGTAACTTTGGTGGTCCCACTTCAAGTGCTGTGGTGGCGGCCACGCGAACAAAGGATTCGCAGGAATCGCAGGAAGATGGGTTTGGGCACTGGGGGCCATTGGAGAGCGAAATAAGCGCGACTATCCCCCCGAAGGCCAGCACAAGTCAACTAACGCGGGGTCTGGGAAGTTCCCAAAGGTGCCTGAACTTGGATCACGGAACCTGGCCAGTAGTGAAGCAAACGGCGCAGCCAGCCTAGGCTACTTAGCGAGGCTAACGGCCACCACCACCGCCAACAGTGCCCAGCAGTGCCAGCACAGGCCACAGCTAGGCTTCATTAGGCTTCAATCACCCCGCCAGAATCTCGGGGCGCCGGTTGTCTTGCGCCATTGCGTCCCGCGTGGCCGCAGCAATTCGATTGACCGTCAAACAATCCCCCTCTTGTTCTCCTGAACGCTGCATATCCGTCTTGAGACCTCAATCTAACGCGGTTGATATCTCAGGACAATGGACGGAGAAGGAATGCTTTGGGCTTGGTAGATAATATGGAGGCAACACATGCGATACACATTCCCTGTACTTTTCCCACTGACCACCTTTTTTCACTCCTTCAGATTTCAGCAGCTGAAAGCGAAATCCGCCTTGTCTGTTTTCTCCCCTTCCCTCATCTTCCACCAGTAGTGATTCTTGCACTCTTTTCTTTCCCCTTCAGATTTCCCTGACGCCGATTTCATTCGTGTTCCACTTGGCCGTTCCGGCTTCTCGTTCATTCGCTTCAGAGTCCTCGCTTCACCCTGTACTTCGGATTGCTTTCTCGCCAGAAAAAAAAGCTGTCACGCTTCTTTCCTTACAAGTTCATCACCGCGTCGTCTACCTAGTCAAAGGTCTTTCAGTGAGAGGAAACAAGCAAGCGGACATCCCAAAAGATAGCGATCGTGCGAAGTGAGCCCTCATTCATCCCGTTTCGCTGCATGGCCACCGTCTCTCGATTGCCCCTTGCAGCTGATTAGCAGGGCATCCGGCTATCGGCTTTCCTGCATCTCCCCGCCCGCCGCGATAGGCCAGTCGTTGCGTCGAGAATCATTAGGTCTTATCCGACATGAAGGGAATTTTCAAGAGAAAAGATTCAAAATTACCATCAGATGACACCACACTTGACAAAACCCTTTTGCGCCCTGCCGTAACAGTCGAACGCATATCCAACTACTCGCACAAGTCGCCAAAGCTGATAAGTTCGAAATCATCCTCCCCATCGTTAGGAGGCACCATGCCGGAGATCGCCATTCCTGAGCCGCCCGATCCAACCTCAAAACCAGCAGCATACCTCCGAAGCATCCATGCTGTTCGAGAAAGGACGAGGCTGGTGCTCGAGGAGGCCAAGGTCAATGCACTCAATCACTTTGATGTAGACATATCCAAGTTCAAGGACACTGCCGACTACGTGGTTGCCATCATCAAGGTACGCGGGGGGAAACATGTTGAGTCTTACCTGTGTCTAACCGTGTACAGCGTGATTTCCAGGGTGATTATGCCTCTATCCCACCTCATGGTCGCTGGCAACATTTTGAAGTCGGAGGGAGACCCAGGGTAACCCAGTTGTTGCAATCGTGGCCAACCTCAATTGACAACCAAGAGAGGGCCCGTCGATTGATTGACTTGTTCTTGGTGTCTGTACTCCTCGATGCCGGTGCCGGCACCAAGTGGTCCTACAAGTCCAAGGAGTCTGGCAAGGTCTACTCCAGGAGTGAAGGTCTGGCTGTAGCAAGCCTCGAAATGTTCAAAGCCGGAACGTTCTCCAGCGATCCCAATCAACCTCATCAAGTGGATGCCGCTGGACTGAATAAAATGAATGTGGAGACTCTGGCAAAAGGGATGCAGGTCTCAGACACCAACCCTATGTCTGGACTTGAGGGGCGGACTGGGTTACTGACTCGGCTTGCGGCTGCTCTGCAGAATGCTGAGATATTTGGCGTTGAGGGCCGACCAGGGAACATGATTGGTGAATTCAAGCGTTTGTCTCTCTCTCGAATGTCTGCTGATTGTAAACAGACTATTTGTTATCTCATCCTACGACTCAAGCAGCTTCGGTTCCTGTCATTCTCTTACCTACGCTATGGAGTGTGCTTATGGACGGTTTATCCAGTATTTGGCCAGCAACTCGAACCACTATTCAAGGGGTCTCTCTCGGAGACGCTTGGCCTTGCCGTGCTATGCCCAGATCCCCCCCAGCACAACCTTGGGAGACCATTGTTCCCTTCCACAAGCTTACCCAGTGGCTTTGCTATTCCTTGATGGTTCCAATGACCAAGCTACTCAATGTTCACTTCGCTGGGGCTGAATTGATGACTGGACTTCCTGAGTATCGCAACGGAGGCTTACTGGTCGACACAGGCCTGCTCACGCTCAAGGAGGAGGACAGGCAGCGTGGGTTGAAGATCTACCATGAGATGGTCGGAGACGGCAATGCGATCGAAGTGGTTCCAACTTTCCCACCTAGCGATGACGTGATTGTGGAATGGCGCGCTGTCACTGTGGGCTTCTTGGACGAATTGCTTGTTTCAGTCAATGCGGGCCTTGGTCTGCAGGGCGCGCAACAGTTGACTTTGGCCCAAATGCTTGAGGCAGGAACTTGGAAGGTGAGCATGAGCAGAAAGATGATCAATGTTTTGCGCTGACAATGTTTGCTAGGGGGGACGTGAAATTGCTCAGGTGTCGCGCCCCATCACTGGAGGCCCTCCCATTGGCATCATTTCAGACGGCACCGTCTTTTGAGTGACGACTTCTACTGTGTTTATGCGATAATGGGTTACGCGGATTTTGAAGGTCACGAAAAAGCGAGATTCAAGACCGAGACCAGAGATTACGAGACGACATATGCGCTTGACGATGTTGTGGTATGGGTTACTTCACTGTGGCAAGTTTTATTCTTCACTTCAATGCTGGCAACTCTTGTTGAGCTTTGCAGAAGATGAGTCCAAGACCTCTACACTTCCGCAAGGTGTGACGGAGTGGAGAGCGCACCCGAACTCGGAGTGTTACATTCAAAGTCATTATTGTTAGTGCATTGACTTGAAGATGCTCCCTGAAGACGGTTTCTTCTACTTGGGAGAGGACGTCCATAGGTCTCCTTGTGACATTCTCTTGTCTTTCAACCTTTTTACTTGATAGCTGGGTGGTAAGCGACACCATGTGTCAATGATCATGCGCTGCCCTCTTTGCCTCTTGCTCCCCAAGACCTGGGTGAAGCCAAAATCATGAAAGTTGGGAGGCAGTGATCACCTCCAGCCATAGTCCATTCCTCTACTCTCGCCTGTGATTCTCTAAGACTGTGACAAAGAAATTGTTGGATGTAGGAAGTAGCTTTGCAAACGACACATCTTACCAAGTGAGTCTGGCTGCTTTGTCGATGGCACATGTCCTGGGATGACCTCCTCTGCATCGGCTAGCCTCGCACAAGCCTGGCAGCCTGGCACGCCTGGGTCTTGGTCCCTTAGTCGCAGGTGTCTCCGCACCGCAGCCACTAGTTGCCCGATCTTGATCCCCAGCTATCCATCTTCCCCGCCTCACATGTACTCTTCCAGCACAACCACCAAAGGACCACGAAAAGTGCTTTGCACTTGAAAGGGTGGAGGCATCATGGACACGCGCAAACGGAAGAAGAAGGTCCTCTTGATGGGCAAGAGTGGCTCAGGCAAATCGTCGATGCGCTCCATTATTTTCAGCAACTATGTCGCGAAGGACGTCCGCCGACTCGGCGCAACCATTGACGTGGAACACAGTCATGCAAAGTTCATGGGCAACCTGACGCTCAACCTGTGGGACTGTGGAGGGTATGGATTAGAAGAACATGCCCTGCTACATGTTTTGTTCAGATGTGACTAACGCCCCTGTGTAGGCAAGACGC